TCTTTATTTGTAGCAAGCCTATTTTTGACATGCCCCAGAAATGTGACTAATCTATAAACCCCTCGTCTTCCTTCAGCCACCTACGCTGCAGCAGTTTTGTTCCGTATGTCTGAGGACAAACCCCAGGACTACAAGAAACGCCTCTCTGTAGAACTCACCAGCTCGCTCTTCAGGACAGAACCAATGGCCTGGAACGAGGTGCGACACGCTCAAAATCACTTCTGGTCTTTAGCAGGATGATTGTGCCCAAAATGCTCAGATATTTATATTTAAAGTTAACTTTGTGCAGAAGTGTCTGTGCACTATTACAACGGTTGCCTCCTGCTCATCTTTGTGTTTGTGTGTCTGTTTCTCTGTAGACTGGAGACCTGGGTTTGGACATCGGAGCACAGGGAGAGCATCTGGGCTACAGACAGGAAGGTAAGTCATCTCACCTCTGGCTGGGGGGGGCGCTCTAACATGTGAGGGACAAGTCAGGAATGTCAGTAACCAAATGGAACATTTAATGACCATACAGTCATTGCCTTTGTATTCTGGCTGATTCTGTCCAATGAGTTTCCATAAACCCACGGAACTCTTATTCCCCTTTATATCTGTTCAACTAATTTTGTCAGTCCACTGACAGAGCTCTTTCTGTCCCTTGTTATCACTGCAGATAACAGGTTGTAAAAGTTCATGATAGACAGAAAACCTGATACAGTGATGAAGAGCAGTAATACTTATTTTCTCCCTGTGGTCAGTCAGCACAACACAGATGGCTCTAACAAATGCAATACTGCAGCTTCTAGTTATCCCAGTCAGTGTAGCAGAACCTTGGACTGTGTACTAGTCAAGAAGCCGAGAGGCCTGTGTTAGCTCGTAATTTACAGCGCTCTCTCAGCACTAATGGCTTTAATTGGCACTCAGTCCAACTAATGAAAGCAAAGACTTGTAGATGAGTCAGAGAATGACCTGGTCACTGCAGATGTTTTTCTGTCTGTGGAACCAAAGGAAACGTGGTGAACTAGACCACAAGTTCAGCCAACTTCAGTTCAAAGTCTTTTTGAACTGAGTTGAGCAGTAGATCAGAGGAAGGGTGGTGTGCTGTGTTGCGGTGTTGTGTTGAATGATCATACTACTGTGTGACAGCTTGGTTTGTTAACATGCTTCTAACAACTGCTCTGCTTCCCCTGCCTCTCCTCCATCCACTCCTCCCCCAGACCCAAGCTACCGTTCCTTCCATTCAGGGGGTTACGGAGGGGACACGATGGGCATGGAGCCCATGATGGACCATGATCTGGGTGGAGGCCACCACCCGGGTCAGGACTATGCCCCAGTTGAGGGGCTGCCTGACCTGGGACACGCCCAGGAACTGATAGAGGGCCTGCCACCCGGCGACTCCAACCAACTGGCCTGGTTTGATACCGACCTGTAAATACCAAGACCAACATTAAACTACTCTTTCTACTAGGTAAGAATATCTACAGTCCCTCTGTGGCCCTGTGTTAGCTGACATGAGTGGTAGCCATTTCCTGTGCAGATTAAGTAGAGGCATAGGAGGGAGGTTTAGTGTCTGGATAAAATGGCTGAGGGGGGTGGAGAGTGGATTTACTCACGGAGGCTGCTGCATGGTCACACTACTCCTAATTGCAAAGCTGTGTGATGTGGTGTGTGTGATGTTACTGGGGTGTTCTGATCTGTGTGTGTGGTCTTTACCGAGTCTGCGCTCTGTCTCCTTCCTCTCACCTCTGGTTTTCCCCTCATTCCTTCTTGTCTGTTACACTCACGCCTCTCCTCCCTCTTGCAGCTGTATCATGTGATCTGGATGAACCTGCATTGTGATTCGCCCACATGGAGGAGGCGGGGTTTCAGAAAGTGCCTGAAGATGACTCAACAACAGCAAGCAGAGTTTCCTGTCTATGGGAACTCCATTGGGACAAACAAGATTTTAAGTGCGGTTCTGTTCTGGTCTCTCAGCCTGACGGGGGCTGACATCAAATCGTGACATGACACATGGATTCTGATCTCAACAATTGATTTTCAAAAAACCCTTTTTATGTATTTTGTTTTTCATTTTTACTTCTTTCACTTGTTTTACTTTATTGTTTTCCTCAAGTCTGTAATTGTACAAACTGATTCTAGTTTGCTTTTTTTCATTTTTCTGAATTATGATACTCATCTCTTGTTTTTGCAGTCCCTTGTATTTTAAGTCTGATAGTGTTGAGTTTTTTTAGTGGTAATGCTCCATTAAAGTAAAGAATCTGATCACATTTTAAATGGTGTCCAAACACTAAAGTTAATCAGTTGAATTGTATTCTGATGATCAAGTGTAACATTGTGTAGCTTTTGTATAAAAAACACATGAATTGGAAATCATGGTCCAAATATCAAGCTATTTTCTTGCTTTAAAGGTGGACACTGATGTGTCTCTGCTGTTCCAAAGGGGGTGTAGCTGACTAAAGCTGGAGGGGTGGAGGAGGGCTTTTACTGGTCTGCTAAGGGGAGGGGTAGTGGGAGGAGCTGGTTGCTGTAGCCTGCTGTGTTCTGAAACAATAAAATGGACTGTCATTTCACCTGGACGCCTCCACGTCTCATTTCACCTACACCCTATCTACTGATCTTTTGACTAAATCCTACAGCCCTAAGTGAGTCCACAGCAGAGATCATGGCTTATGGTAGAAAAGCAATTATGAATGGTCATATCTGTTTCTGTTTAATTCTGACCAAGTCAGATGAGTCTAACTATAAAAAATATGGACGACACTTCCTTCCAATATCCAGAGAAGAAACCAAAATATCCTGGAGGCAAACGTTGCCATCTTGCACCATGGGCATCATTTGGACAAGTCTTCACGATAGTAAGGTCCCACTGATACCCATGCTCGCCCAATGACTGGTGCCAATCTGCTTGTTCAGTGTGACATATCCATATCCTGGTCCAAATCTTAAAGTTGCAAGCAAACACCAGCAGAACCGTTTAGTGAGGGATCATTTAGGAACAAGAGAACTAGATTCATTTAAGATATTTTTCCAACCAACTTCATTTCAGTCTTCACAAAGTTATTGCTTCTGTACTGCCCAACTTAGTCTATCTAGCTAACATTAGCATACACTGACCAAAGACAAACTGTTTTGCATCATGTTAAATCTATTCCACCATCTGAAATCCACAATTTCATCAAGGCACACAGCACTACAGCCGGAGATCGGACCGGGAAACATCACATGTGAATTAAGATAATAGTAAATAACTAATCAAAATCAAACTATGAAAACATATAATAAAATACATCGGTGTGATAAGAACTACCAACAATGACAAAAACATTTTGTTTAATAGGCAAGTTTTTAATTTTGGCCCATGTCCCCTCCAATAACATGGAGGCTGAATTTATTACCTATACTGCAGTCAGCCAACAGGGGGTGATGGATATGCTGTAGCTTCACTTTGGGGATGTCTTTATTTACAGTCTATGGTTTGACCACAGAGGACTAGTATTTAGTTGTGTCTCAACTAAAAACTGTCTCAGATTGGAAAGCAGCCAAACATGCACAACAGTATAATACATTAAGTGTATATGGCTCTCTGGGTAAAATTTCATTCAGGCTCTCTGCTATAGCAAGGCGGATCAGACAGCAGAGGACCATTTCACAAAGGTTCCCTCCTCAGTTTTACAAACAGCTGGGTAGCATGGTGTGGAAAACAAACGTCCACATCCACCGGCTGTTTGGCAGGAAGTCAGTTCAGGTCATCGTCCCCTGTATGAGACTGAGTCCTAACTTTCAGTTGGTAAAACTTGGTGGATGATCTTAGTTGTGTTTGCTGGAGCTTTCGTGCGATTAGACAGATTTGCATATGAAATTAGAACCCGGAGTAAAGAAGTAAAAGCTCTGCCGGTGGTGACCATGACTGTGTCCAGGATTTTGGTTTTCTCAGAGGACGTGATGTCACCTAGAGGACACACGTTTCTTAGTCAGTGTCTTAAACTGATTTTCAACCAGCTTTGTATTGTTACAATATCAATAATACAGTATATAAAGAAGAGCAATGTTTAATTTCCCTCTGTTGCCTGGACCATGATAAAAAGTCTGCTCGATGACTGACGGTGTGCTCGAAGTACAACAAGCACCTCTGCATTTTTCTGTGCAGTTGGATCGAGAGCCAGCGGATTAAAACCATCCTGGTGGAATTCAAGCTGTAGAGCAACTACAAGACAGTTATCTGATAGATATGGAAGAAAGCTACGTTGTATATTGAAAGTGTAATTAATGAGCCCAACAGAGCAGCTACAGCGTCTGGAGGAGGGAGAGGCTGCCACTACTGGGACACCTCTCTTCTCACAGACACTCATTGCTGCAATGCTGCATCAGAAATCAAATGCATCATCTCATGCACTCTCAACAGACCCGACGATGACCTGATTTCGCAGGAACATAAAAGTTGCCTGACCGGTCCTTGTAGACAACTCCCTCAGTCTTTAAACTGGCAGCTCTGCTCCCTGTTGTCAGCCTGCTTCATTTGTGTGGTATCTTAACTCCTGATCACATCCGGTCTCAGTGTGGGATGCACACAGGAAAGGAGGAAAGCTGGCAGCAGTTGAAAAGTGTGTTGTTCACAGCTGCAGCCTCAGACTCTCTGCCTCCAATACTGAGTGGATGAGACCAGGCAAACCCAGAGGCCAGAGCTGTGATGCCTCTGACAGGCCGAATTAACACCCTCACTGTAATCCTCTACAGTCTGACGGACACTGGATGGATGTTTTGATGGAGCTGTCTAATTATTTTTGTGACAGGGCAATATTTATTACTGTCATTGATCCAATTTGCGAATGTAATGAGAGTCATGTAGAGTTGAGTGAACGCTCTGATAGCACACGGACAGATTCACTCGTGTCTCACAGCTCACAGGGGCCTGTCTCAGAATCAAACCAACTACAGTACAGTTTCTATCAAGGCTGTGTGGACCACAGATGTGATAAATAAGTAACTGATATCTAAATAGTTAACTTATCAAAAAAAAGTTCATATCCAACGTCATTTTTAATCCAAAACTGACATCTCCAAAGAACAAACATATCTACTGAAAGATTAATTGAAGACACAAGTTATTTGAAGAAGTGAAATATCTAATAACTAGCTTATCATCAGGATCTTCTGAAGTTGTGGTGGTAAAGAGTTGCACACTGCGGACCGTCGGTGAAGATGAGAAGCTTCTAGGATCCAGTGATCTCCTGGAGGATTTCAGCAGCCAGCAGAACCACATCACCGTGACACCTGGGACAGAATTAGACATTTTATTTTTTATTCACCATATTGCAATTACGTTGTTTACCCAGTCTTTCTTTAAAATGTCCAAATCATAACAATATCACATAATGTACATCATGTATCAGTAGGTATACCGTATTCTTTAACATTTGAAATCCATTGCTGTGTTTTCTAGACAAAAAACAGCTCCTCATGATATCATTAATCAGTATTTGTTAGAAATTGTGTTGCCTGACATACACACAGTGGATGTAAACATTACACAAACCCACAGGTCAAAGGTTTCAGTCTGGAAAATTCAACTGCGACTCCAATATTGTAATATCTGGCAGAATTAATACACCCAAGATTTTACCTAATAACTCTATTAACACCACCTAAAATAAATGTGCATTCACATGCTCCCTGGAAGGTCCCATTTCCCATTGTTCCAATGTTGATTATGTTAATTGCATTATACGTGATGATATCAGCAACATGTCAACTCATGAAACTGACATGAGATAGCGTTCATGTCAATTTTCCCAGTGGGGAACTAATTTTGAAATATACCGACACCACAAGAACGCACAATAAGTCTTGTGGCTTAAAAAATTTGAAGGAAACGTATCTCAAACAAATTGGCTTATGCCTTCATCAGGATGTACTGACAGACCCTACAGGCGTGCAGGGTGAGGACATGCAGTATTGTACCTGGCCTCTAGGGGCATGATAAAATTAACAAAATGGAGGAAGTCCCCTGCTGGCCATCAAGACCACTATTGTTGTAAGAATGGTGCAGAAAGAGGAGATGAGTCCACAATATAACAGATATTAAAATGTAGCAGTTAGGTAAACATATCAAACAATACTACAAGTGCACTCAAGTGATAAAAATATATAGGATCTACCACGAGGAAACCAATTTGAGCTCATTAAAAAACAGGGTTTGAAGAGGAAGAACCTCACAGAATGATCAACTGATGACTATGTGATCTATTTTTATTTTAAGTCAGACACTGGGGAAGAGGCACTGAGGTGGGGAGTGGGGGGGGGGATGATGTAAACTGCTGGAGCTGTATGTTGTAAGTGGAAGCTTGTGGTTGAAAATGACAATGAAAGGAATCAAGGTTGTGTTCAGGTGGATTGTGTTGCTGAGTGCACTGAATGAATAGACTCTGTGGACAGTTACAGTTTCTAGACTGAGTCTCTGAGCTGCTGCTTTTTCTCACTGGTCGTGTTTGCTGTGGTTTCGTTTTTATTCTGTGTGCCGGTTCTTTTTAAATGTGAGTTGTTGTCTTTAAATTACTGTTATGTAGAATGTTAGCAGTTTCTTATGCCATATTTGATTTCACATAGGTTGGATTATTCTTGACTTTACATAATTGTTATGGTTTACTAAAAATATACTCAGACCCCCTCAGGGCTGTCTATGATCCCCCCCCCCCTGCCATCTTAGCTTCCTCCCAGGTGTCTGTGAGGGCCAAGCCAGCAGAAGAACCCACTAACTCCCCCTAGTTAATTAAAACTCTATATAATTAAGCTAATGAATATATCTCCCAGAGGCCTCAGAACCCCTTGAAAGTTTGTGGATTTGAAAAATAAACTATTAAATCAATTTGATACATAAAGTTTTAGCCCAAAATTTAGTTTGGTGACTCATTAAACTTCCACAGTCCCACACTGACAGCCAGCAGCTCCACAGAGGACAGTGGAAAAAGAAACAGTTGGTTTAAGATTGCAGTGAATGACGGCTGCAGCAGCACATTAGCATCAGTTTACACTACATGTGTTTCCCACTATTTCAGATAAAAGCAGGTAAATGGGAGTTTCTTCACACGGTTTCATTAATTTACATTCTTCATCTCTGTTCACACTAATACAGTAGATTGGTTAATTCACTCTGTGGATTAGTCTCAGTCCTTCAGCACGGTTTTAACTGTCATGAAATGTACCAATGTTATGTTCCTTAAACCGGTGGCTTCAACCTTTGTCTCAAACCATCAGCTCTTCTCGTCACGCGCGATATAGATTATACTTTCTGGTTTGCTCTAGTAAGAAATCACTGCCCTCACAATGTGGAGAAATATGGCGAGACAATGATTTATATTAAAAAGATTAGGAAGACCACCACAGTGCTGTTGTGCTGCAGCTCAGGATGTTTCGGCAGATTTAAGGTGGCTTTGGTAAAAGTCTTCACAAACTGCAGCTAAAGCTTTTAGAGCAGTTTTGTAGCTCTGCAGCCTGAGCACACATTAGTGCTCGGCACTGCTGACGGCTTCAGCAGTGCCGGTGTATGACTGACTGCAACAATAAATTAGGGATCAGGTTTTGGGCCTCATGGCCACCCCCCCCACCACCACACTTGTTCAGGCTAGAGGTTTTGAAAAAGCATTCCTCAGGTTGCCATGGTGAAGGCTGAATGACATCATTTAGGTTAGGATCTCAGCCCAGACCTCCCCTCTCCTTCCCACTTTCTTCCATCTTCACTTTCTGGCCCACCTCCTCCTCCTCCTCTCAATTAAAACCAATCTCCACCCCTCCCCCCTCCCTTCTTCTCCTCTTCTCTCTCTCCTCATAACTCCTCTCATCTCCTGCCCTTTCTCCGAAAACCTCTGCTCCCCTCCTCCTACCACTAAACCAGTGGGAGTGTGCCAGTCTCCGCTACTTCAAAGCTCGAGCTGATCTCTGCTTTCATGTGCCAGAGAGGAGAGAGAGGAGACGAGGGGAGAGGAGAGCAGAAGTGGGAGAGGGAAAACACGAGAGGGTGGGGGTCGAAGAAAAAAAATGAGGAAAATAGAAAGAAAATGGACGAGGAGAGAGGAGTTAAAATGGGTATAGGGTGACAAAAAGGCAAAAAAGGGACCAAGGAGAAAAGGGGGAGGGGAAGAGGGTAGCAGAGGCCTCTATAGCAGGATAACAATACACCTTTATTATTGATCTGACAGGTTGTGTGTGTGATTGAGTGAATTTGTATAAAGAAGGGTGTGAAAGAGTGTGTGTGTGTGTGTGTATACACTAAAGGTCTGTGTGTGTGTGTGTGTTTGTTTGAGAGAGGGAGAGAGACAGGAAGCTAGTCTCATAGATCAAAGACAGCATGGTCGGTCGCTACGGTGACAAAACCCTTGGCTCAAAGAAGGAAAACATATTCAGCCGAGATACTCAGAAAAGATCCATCCATCCATCCATCCATACACACACACACACACACACACACACACACACACACACACACGTTAAAGCATCTAAATTTGCTTCATTACACAGCTCAGTGATATTAAATGGATGTGTGTTTGAGAGGTCATGGTCTTTATTGCACTCTGCCGCTTTGCAATAGATCTCACTTATGCCAAAAAAAAGTGATTGAGTTTTTGTAAATGGAGTAGAGAAGTGAAATCCTTCACTTTTAAATAAGAAGAAATGTACCAGGATATGTACAAATATGTGCATTACTCAAAATCTGATTATTTCATGTTTACTTAATTAAGTATTTTATGTTTTTTTTTAAATGTTGTTAACAGTTACTTCAATGGCATAGTGGTGAGTTAATTTTCATTTATTGGGTGAACTATCCCTTTTAGACATCCACTTTGTCCGGAAGAGGTGCATGTGTGAACTCAAATGTCCGAGTGAGAGCCTAAGGATTATCTGCGGGCTTTCTCCGTCTGGCCCCTCTGCAGAAAGTCAGGAGAATCCTATGTCAGTTCACAGCAGGAGTTCCCCTGTTAGTTTCACAGCCAGTGAGTGGGGGGGTTGATGATGTTTCTATCAAGCGACAGGTGCAAATATGAAAAAAACTAAATGGAAATCAATATTTCCCGGTGAAGAATCATTGTCATACAAGTAGAAGACACAGAGGAAGATGTCTAGATAGTTTGTGGTGATAACAGCCGGTGCTGTGTGTTGTCAAGAAAATCATGAAATCTCTGCAGCGGAGTTAATATGTTACTTCCTGCCTCTGCCTGCTGCACCAGCACCTAAATAATGCGAAGGACTTGTTGCTTTTGTGAACGCGTCTGTGCAGAGAACCTCCTGCTAAGTTGTGTTTGTGTGGAAAAGCAAACTATGGGTTAAGTTTGGACCCACCTATCCAGACTCTAAAGCTATTTTCAGACATAACCTGCAGATATGAAAGATTCACAGTTAAAGCTAGGATTGGTAATCCTGGAAAATCTAGTAGGCTATACTTTTACATCCCTCCCATCAGCCCTCTCCTCAACGCTAAGCCCCAAAACAATTGAACGTAAACTGATTGACAACTGTAAGAATACAACTCTTCTGCAGGCAGGCAGGCAGGCAGGCAGGCAGGTTGCTTAGTGACAGACAGGTACACCAGCAAATCACTTTAGTCCAAATGAAATGATTGGTTGTGTTTATTACAGCCCTGCAAGAGCCACAGACTGTGGCATTTTTATTCTTTATTAACAAAAACCTTAATTTATTAATGTCTATTGGAATGTGAATCAATTTCATCAAATACAAACTTTCAGAAACAACTTATCAACTCTACCTTGTGTTTCCTGTTCATTGTTAGTGTCAGACATTGTACTGATTTTCATGTACAGTCCCCGCGGATACATCACATTTCTAAAACTCCTATTTGTTGGAAGGAAGAGGTTACGTTGACGAGTGTCTGGAGAGATGCAGGTCATGTTCCCTGCCACTGATGTGAGAGAGCTAGAGGCTCCCAAACAGAAACAAAGTCTTGTGTTCAATAAATAGATATTTAACCTCTCAGCTGTTTGAGAGCTTTAACTGAGACCCTGCACCTGTCCGCAGCTCACATCACACATGAAAGCAGCTTCAGTGATCTATGCAAAACATATATTCTACCAAATTGAAGAGGGAATATTCCCTAAAAATGGATATTGTTTATGAAACACAGGAAATGCTTTCAGACATGCACTGAACTATGGAGACTCTCTGAACTTTCTGCGGAGGAGGTGCATGTGTGAACACAAATATCTGAGTGAGAGCCTCGGGATTATCCCCCGCTGGATTCACAGCCAGCTAATGAAGGGGGTTGATGACGCTTCTAATGAGTGACAGACGCAAAAATGAAAACAAATGTCTCTGGGTGAAAAAAGCAAAACCACACACATAGAAGACACCATTTTTGAAATGCTGTTAAAAAAAATAATCGCGTGATCTCCACAGTGGAATTAATTTATACGAAAGTGCTAACTGCGTTAGTCTGGACCCAATTCTCCAAACTTCAGCTAGAAGTCATGTCTGAAAACGGCTAAAGACATACACAAGCAGCAGAGACACTCACCTCTTAGACGTGGTTATATCCTGTATTAGCCTCGCTAACTCCTCCCCTTCAGGGCATTCTAACCAATCAGATCTGTCTGTAGTCTGCACCTGAAGACATAGGGAGAGAGGAAGGACAAATTATTGATAAAAGAGAAATAACACACTGTTACTTTTAGTTAAATGGCAGCAGACCACACTCAACAAAGGACGTGATGTACATAACAAATACTGAGCGCTAACCCAGTGTATGAGAGCAGCACTGCCACAGGATTGTACAAAACAGATATGACCAGTCAAAGCTGACCTCATGTGAACTTAGACCTGCAATTCTGCAAAACCGCACTGAAAATCACTTTCTGAAAAATGAATTCAGAATTTGAATCTGTTTTTCCCTTTTTGCCTGTTTTACTAGTTTAACAAAAACAAAACTTACCACCTTGGGCCATGATACAAGCTAACAAGCCCAAAAGTCAACATTACTTTTGATTCAAAAACATGAATCCTCAGTGTGGCTTTGTATAATTTCATTCCCCAGGCCTTATGAACAGGGCTGATATAACTGAACTGTCTATAAGTGATGCTTCTTACTTTCATCTTTCAAAATAACACCAGTCATGATGGTCTGCAAACATGCAAAATGTTTTTTTTATCAGGCTTCTGAGGACTTCAGCAGGAAGCCAAGCAGCAGTAACCAGTGTTTCACTAATGATAAAAAAAACCAGTGATACATATTACGGCCCCAATATTCACGTTCTTCATCTTTTCACAGAACTGTGTTGATCACGGCATATACAACACATCAGTCTGTTTTATCATCACACAATCATCCTGCATGTTGGCAAGAACAACTGCTGAGTGACATCCCAGTAATTGGTCAATACCATTTCAAAGGAGATTGATCTAAGAGCTAATGTGCCAAATGCACAAACACATACATGCACGCACACTCTGTTATTTTCTTTCTTTATACTAGAGCAGGGTCCATTTTAAACCTGACTGTTGGCTTGTCCTGTGATAAAGCTCGGGAGATACTTCAGAATTATTCCTTGTTAGTGAGTCAAACAAATCCACTAATACTGTCACTTTTTATTATGTGTTTGCTGGACGTTGTGTGCAGAGCTTTTTTATAAACACTCTATGGTGCAGAGTGAAGTTAGTCAACTTTGTGTTTATCCTACATCTGTATGAATGATTTACTAAACTGCTGTTATTTCTATTTCTACTCTTCGTTTCTTTGTAACAACGCCACCATAACTGTGTTGATCCATTTCTTTATTCAGATTCTCTGACTGAAGCTGTAAAACATTCTGGATGAAAGTCCTTAGCTCTCCTCCTTCACTGAATCAAACATTCTTTTCACTTGTCCTGACACGTCTCTCCACACCTTGATGTCAAGGCTACACACCTGGTCCTCCCACTGCTGTGTGTCTGAGTGTGTGTTCACAATGGTTCTCGCTAACAAAAGTGCAATTACACTGTTTGAACTAGCAGCTAGAACTAGCAGCTAGAAGTGAAGGTAAAGATATGATTTAATATTACAGTGACAGTGTAAAACCTATGGAGCAATTTACTATCAATAAAACCTCTTGTAATAAATCAGTTTGCTTATGTTTCTTTAAGCACTGTTCAAGGTGTGTAGGTGTGTGTGTGTTTTTGTGCGTGCTAGTCAATGTTTTGTGAATGTGTTCTCTCTGATCTCCAGTGGCATCATCACCTCTGTCTCTGTGGTGACACAGCATGGTTGTTGCTAGGCAACGGAGTTAGGAGGAGCCAGTGATGCACCCCTCGCTCGCTTGAACGCACACACGCACCCTTTCTTATCATCCCATCTCCACCCTCACTGTCCACCTCTTTGATTCTCCCTTTATACCAGATCAACACCTGATTCTAATACTGAACTCTGAAATACTGACAGAAGGATGGACGGACATGATGCCTCTTAGAAAGAGGATCATGAAAGAGGATAGGGCTGTCATAATACTAAGAGTGCATCGGACAACAGAGAGAGAGAGAGAGAGAGAGAGAGAGAGTGGTACATTCATGCATCAATAAGTCAATGTGAGTGAGATTACTGAGGAATGATTGTTTAGTGGATAACAGGTAAGTGAGTTCTTCCAGAGATATTTACCAACACTGGAGACTGTCTGGGGCCATTTTCATGTCCTGTGCAGACATTAGGTTTCACTGTCCATGAAAATATTATAATGAGAGTTGATTTTAATAATCATCATGGTCAATATGAATGCCTCAAAATGACCCAAATTTATAATTAACCATTCAACATTTTTCTATCTGTACAACTTAGACAGGTGAGAGGAAAATACCTTGATGAAACTGAAAACATGGTGAACACAAATGTATTGTATAATAATAATAATAAAATAATGTATATTCAGTTTAATTCATGCCACTTGTCGAGACTTGATATAGAAAAACAGTCAGGTGAGTTTGATTGAGCCCCTGGCAGAGAAAGGAAGCACTATAACCGTGGGACTGATGGATAAATAAATAAATACATTTATGTTCATGTTTCCAGCTCAAACATGGAACAGGTCACAATAATTGGACGTCTGCTTTGACATTTTTGGGACTATGCTGAGATATTTCAGCCTATGGAGATGAGAGACGAGGAAGCTTCTCGACATAAGTGTGAGATTAACAAGCAGTGAGACAGGACAATGTCGACAACAGCAGTGTGCCTTCCCTCATACATCCAACCCTGTCAACATATTGTCTGTGACAACATTCACACAAAAAGAGTAATGAACATTATTACTGCTGGACAGGTTAACATGAGTGAGGAAGACTGGACATTGTTAGGATGACCTTGTAAGAGGCAGAGACCAGAGATTTGACCGACCCCAAATGTAGATTTAGATTTGATTAGATTCAACTTTATTGTCATTGCACATGTCACAAATACAAAGCAATGGAATGCAGATTTATTCACAGACCAAAGTCAGATGCATCAAGGAAATATTCGGTGGCATCTCTGGGCATAACTGACCAACCATGCTAGAATAAAGGGCAGCCTTATATACATCTTCACCTCTAAGTGCTACCAACAACAGGGGTGCTCATCGTGACCTATTTTACACCTCACCTGTATGTTCCAACCCTCCCTGCTGGTTTTCCCAGGGACTCTTTGACATGAGCATTTTGAGCCAGGAGAGCACAGGTGAATTTGTATTCTAGTTGTTCCATTAAAACATACATGCATGTAGTTTGTAGTATTTCTTGCTGACTAGGAGGGCCACAGAATTGCTGGTCTGCACTCCACTGGTCACACTGCTGAACTGTCATTTACAGGTAATGCACCAATCCCACAACCCGGTGTCCGGAACAACCGCACTACAATACACACAGACAACCATTCCAAAAAACTGCCACAATAAAAGCCTGAAATATATTCTCTATCTGTCCTCATTATTTAATGTGCAATTATTTACAAATACACTGTTTTTCAGTGCAAATATTCCATTCTGTGCAAATATACTTTGCTAATCCGGAAGTGACACAGAAACGTGACAGAGACTGAGAGGACCTCCGTTACATACATATTAACCTATGCTACATATATGTGCTTCTTGCTCCACAAGCTTCCTCTGAAGCCTGTTTCATTAAATTTGTATTCCGCTTCCAAGTTGACTCGAAAAAAAAAAGTAAAAGTAAATTTTACTTATTCACTCGATTTATTCTCCCTCACTCCTCCCCGACAGTTTCCAAGCTATTAGTGGGATCTTTGATTGAGATTAACAGAGCCCTGAAATCAATGAGAGATAATTAAAAAGCCTTTGTTGAAGGGCAGGCACTCGTCTGCGTGTGTAGGTGTGTGTTTGAGACAGAATATGTGAGTCATTGTGTTTCAGGGACGGTGCAGCTGTGAAAAAGTGTGTGTTGAGGATAAGGAATGTCTGTTGCTTTCTTTCAAAGCTGCACATTGCTCTCTGCTGACTGACTGACAATGAGATTCAAGAAAATTAAATTTAGCAAATGATTAGAGGTTTTTTTTTTAAATTTTTATGTTTAGCTACTGGACTCCAGTGGGAAAAAAAGTGCTAGGTGGGAGAACAGTGTTGCTGCAGTACACTGAGGGAGAGTAAAACTTTAACATTGAGAAAGAGGTAAATCTGTGAGCTTGTGTGATAGAGGGAGTTAGTGTGTGGGTGGTTCAGGTGGCTCGATCTAATTGGTGAGAGGAATCAAAAATATACACATGCACTCTTGCACACACACACACACACTCACTCACCCTCACCCACACACCCACACACACACACTCTCTCACTCACCCTCACACCCTACAGATATTAGGTAGCCTCCAGACAAAGTCAGACCATATGATCTCTGGGTGACAGCTGACCTTGTGTCCAAAGTACAGCTACTATTCCATGACCCTGCAGCCATGTCAGAACATTAAGAATGTATTTTACATTATTCATAAGTTTTCGACAGCAAAATCATCCATTTTTCCAAACTTGGTCATATTGATTTTGAGATGTAGTTTCACTGGACTGTCCCCTCCAACCCTTCCTGTCCTTTCTCTTACCTGACAGTTCAAACTGATCTTGTACGATTCAGCAAAACCTTGGATTATTCTTAATGGCTACATTTTTAGGCATCCAATATCAAACCTGTTTAAAGAACTTATTCCTGAATAATTTGTTACATAAGAATGGTTATGTTTAGGTAACCAAATCTTCTCGTTTTAGTTTAGAGAAATGCTACCATCATGGTTTAAAAATGAAGTCTCAATTGCTGTCCTGAGAAAGCATGCAAACCCTGGTATTTGGTGTTCAAGTAAGGAAGTTGCTAACTTGTCCAGATGGCACAGTCATATCTTTCTACATTGCCACTGAGTGTTGGCACTGACTGTGAATCTTGTACTGCAGAATCATCCAATATGAATTTATTTTCTTTGGAAAGCTACAGAATTTATACCAAACTTGTGTTCTGAGTGCTTCACAACAGGATTTGTCTGATGTGGTTTGAGTGTCTGCTCGCAATTTTACTGGCAGTTTACTCAACTGTCTCATAGGGTTTTTAATTTGTGTACTGAATGGTGTGATTTTAATGTGGTGTCTGTCAGGACAAGAGATGCCTCCTAGTTAAAACCTGTCTAATGCTGGTGACTGGTGCTGCAGCAGTATCCGTTCATGTTTCCAGATTCAGATAATGTTATTGAAAATGGGAGGATAGACGCCTCACTGAATCTCCACCTGCTTCACTACAGTAGACTGTAGAAGTCAGCCGTCTTTGGCCTGTACTACAAATCATTTTGACTATCAGACAAAATTGGACAGGCACTCGAAACACAGAGTGACAGTCTGATACAAACCAACGCTTTTTCTCCCTCTCTGTCTTGCTCCCTCTGTCAGTCACATCGTGGTGAAACTACACTATTTTCAGAACAGCAGCACAGAAGGCCTGACTGTGTGTGTGTGTGTGTGTGTGTGTGTGTGCACGTGTCTGAGTCAGTTCCCGTTATTCCAATATTTTCATTCTGCAGTGGCACAAGATTCTTCAGTCAAACTTGTTTTAGGGTTGTGTTTTGACCAGTACTAGGAACACACTCTGAGCACAGACAAATATCAGTTAAACGTCACAACCAATGTTGACATACATATGATATTTTCTATGTGTTTGCATTTGCAGATGCCAGTTTATGTTTGTGTGTGCGTGTCATTCAATGTGTGCACTGTACTCACCAGCCGTTTGATGATCCTCAGGGTTGTGCGCTGTATTTTGGGGGTCATGGTGTGCATGTGTGTGCAGAGCACGTGAGAGAAGCTTTGCAAGCACGAAGGTGACAGGCAGTCATGACCCTCTCCACCGTACAGCTGAGCCAATAGGGACAGACATTGAATAGATTCCTCCCACACTTCTTGGTTTTCAGTGGACAGCTACACAAAGAGAAAATCTGTTTATAAAAAAACAACTCTCCTGTGTGTGTATATATATATAATACTCTGGTCATAAAATTGTGATTTAATTCACCTTCTCTTCCAGGTGTACTGACAGTACATACCATAAATGAAATATTTGATGAAAACATTGATTTATTTGAAGACTATATAAAGTAAATATCAAAAATGGAACATCCAATCATCCAGGATCCCCCTTCCTTCTACCATGTGAATAAGATTAGTCTGTAACTGACTGTAGAAAAGCATTACTGCACTCAGTAAATCATAATAATTCACCATGCATCAGTAACTGCTCCACTACTCTACAGAACTGCTTTTACTGATGAAATGAGACTCATATTGACACTTCTGCTCTCTCTATTCCATAATACCCCATGGGGCAAAAGCCCTGTGCAGAGGCTGGGGGTGTGTCAGCTGCCCCCTTAACCCTCTCCTCCACAATCAGACACACACACTCACACACACTCACACACACGGCTCACACTCGTTGTGTCAAGTATAAGTAAAAACCTCTATTGTGTCCCTCGAGACCCAATCCTCTCCTCCTCCCACTCGCCTTTCTTTTCCCTTCCCTCCTTTACCTCCTCAACTTCCCAGGATGCTTCACAGCACCCTCTCTCTTTTGAATGGATTCTTTCCATCTTTACATGTCATTTCATCATCTACCCCATATGTCTTTCGCTCGTTACCTTCTTTTCTCCACTATATCCATTTATTCATTAAGTTGAGAAATCATGTTTATTTTGTTTCTACGTAAAAAGTGACAGAAGACACAAATGCCATCATTCGTCAATTGCTGAATTAGATTTGTACACTATCGTTGTACTGAAATCACTGTTCTAAGATTTTGAGCGCAGATAGAAGAGGGATTTATTCTGCATCACATTTATTCTTTATCCAATTATTGAATCCTCAATAAAGCATATATAGTGTGGCAGAATGTGTGGATGTTTGAATAGCTACTGTGAAAACATTTCTCTCAGCAGAAAAGCCATGATTTTACCCACTCTTATCTTCCTGTTTTCAGATTGCATCAGTCTCTGTGTTGTGTTGATATAAGACTCTTTTCTGTAGATTTATGGGTTTAATATTTGTAATAACTGCAGACAAATTACTGCAGTACACTAAACAAATACCAGTCTGAAAAATAGGGATTAAAACCACCAGGGTGATGTCCCACACCTTAATGAAACCACCCATGCCAACGTGTGAGGGGGCTCGTTAGCTGGAAAAGGCTACTCAACCTGGAGTAAGCATATTCATAGATCCCACTCATAAAATGATGAAGAAAGATGAACAGTTACATCTCAGTCATTTTTAGGTGTTGAGGGGATTCTTTTCATGACAAACCTCTTGAATACTTAATTTTGAGCAACAAAGCGAATAGTATGAGGGGAAAGTAAACAGCTGGAGTTGGACATGAAAAATACTATTCTGTAGTGCTGCTTGATTCATTTCATTACATACATGCACACACCTTCAGAGTACAGCTAATGAAGGAAGAACTAAACTCAGTCAGAAGTTTTCGTGGGATCAGACTACATGAAAAGCAGCCCGAACTGGAAGATGTAGGGTTCGGAAAAGATCCATGGGTGCAACAATCGATTTCATTTGATCACGGGCGATGCACGTAATGGACGACAACTGATGCTGCATCATGGAAGCCTTTCTGGGAAACAGAGAGACTTGCAGACTCTTTTTTTTTTGACAGGTTTAATCACCTCTGTGATGTTAACCAATAGGAACACAGATGATGGTGTTCTGCTGGGAACAATGAAGCTGTTGATAAATGCAAACATGGGATGAAAAAGAATGATGGTGTTGGAAGATGGAGCTGTGAAACAAGTAAGGTTTGTCGAGCTGTGGCAACAACACCCCAGATTTATTTGTATTTACCTCCACCAAGCAGGTTATGTTTTCACCCCGTCCATGTGTTTGTTGATTTGTTTCTTTGTAAGCAAGATTGCGCAAAAACTACGAAAGGGATCCAGACCAGGGGATCCTGGATTTGTGTTGTTTTTTATTACTTTCTTCAACCCTTGTGAGATAAGACATTTTTTTTGATATTTTAACATTTTTCCCAGCGAATACAAAAATGTATGCATATTTAGGGGAATACTATCTATGAGTGTGATACATTTGGTTATGGCGAAGTGCCATTCTAGTTCCTCAAAGAATTATCTCGACAGAATGAAGAAAAAAACATTAGACACAGTGAAAATGGCAAACTGTGGACAGGGAGGAACATGTAGTCTGTCATGTATCACAGTCACGACACAGCAAGGATTTATGACTCTGGTCTTAACAGTCTAAAATATTCTGTAATATGACCGCAGCTTAAGATTTACACTCACAAGTACACATGAAAGTGACTGTGGTGGACATTAGTGTTTGGTGAACAGTGCTTCTTCAGGTATTACTTTCAATCAGAGCAGTTGATTTGAACTTGTTGAAGTAGATCATATTTCATGAATACTGTTGTGTTGTCTTCTCTCTCTTAGACACATGTATACTCACATTTCCCCACATGAATAAGGATGTATCCACAGTCTGTCTAACTGTACCAGGCACACATTTAGACATACAGTCTAAAACCACACACACACACACACACACACACACACACACACACACACACACACACAGCTCTTTGAGTGTTGGTCTCACCATGTGAATGAGGTGTGTGCTGAGTTGGCTCAGGGGTCTGTTGGCTTGGAGCAGATTCTCTGCTGCCTCCATGTCTACTGCTGGACAAGATAGCCTCTGGCTCTACACACACACACACACAGACACACACACACAGACACCGATACATACACACACACGTTAAATCATTCATAGAGATTTGACAGTCAATAATGATGGATCCAGAGACCTGCCAAGACAGATTCTGACAGACTGAGACAGACACAGAAAGACACACTGATAGATGGACCAAGGGATTATTATTTTAACCCTTGTTAAGGAAAACACACGTTCATCTGTTTATCATGTTTGTCACCTTCTTTGTGTATTTACACTGGACTGAACGAGTTGGCGTATTATCAATCAGAGGCGTGATGTGTAACACAACAGCATCAGTATTTCCACAGACCTCATTCCAATTTTGTGATCACCTCCACTGTTGACATCAAGAGGCTCAACAATCCTCCCCCACTTCTGTGTTTGTACCTTCTAAACAGAAACATGTAACTAAGGTTCATCATTCCCACATTGAACAGGCTTTGTAAAAATGAGCTAATAAACTTGAAGTCCTCTCAGTCTTCCGTTTATTCTCACCCCACCCTCACTGCTCCTTTAGCCCCTCTGTCCCTCACTTTGGCTTATTTTAGTTCAGTTCATGGCTACAGTGGAACTTCAGACCAATTAGCAGTGGAATAAGATTAATATTGGCACACGTTCTCTCTCTCCCACAGTCACTCCTTCTCTGTTATGCTTTTTTTTCTTTTTTTCTGAAGTATATATAATCTCTCTCACTCTCTCTTGACCAACAGAGTAATAGTTTGGGGAGAGTGGTCTAGTCACGTCCTCTCTCCTTATCAGACCTTATTACCCAAATGAATTTGGTTTGGGCAAAAGTTTTCTTTTTAATGAGCTTTGCATTTCTCACAGAATTGATTTCCGCTCAACATTTTCCTTGCTCCCTTTTCCATCTATGTCTCTGCTAACTCTCCATGCTTCCCTCTTCTGTCCTTCTCTCTTCCACCCAGTCTTTTACCCTGCCTCCCCTTTAGCCCCCCCTGTCTTAGCATTAATATGTATGCGTTGGGCTGGGGTGCACACTATGGGGAGATGGGGTCTGGTGTGTGTATGTGAGCATATGTGAGTGTGTGTGCATCTGTGTGTAGGGAGGCAAGCTGAGGACAAAGCCAGTGGTGATAATGAGGCCGCAGGGACATAGCCAGACAGGCCCCTCTACGAACGCCTGTAAGTATGAGTATGTGTGTGTGCACGTGCACACGTGTGTCCCAGTGACTCGGGACCCTATCTGCCTCCTCCTGAGTTCACAACTTCAATATTGCAGTTGCTTAAACCTGCTACCCTCCACTGCACACATCAATGGACACACACTCACAAACAAACACACACAGACACACCTGCCTTCAGGGACACGATACAAGGACATCATTTTTAGGGAGCTGACTTTGCTTTGTGATTCTGTGCTCAGCAGAGATGAAACTGATAAATAGTAGTGAATCAATGTGGGAAATACACCAGACTATGAGGACCAATACTACATGATACAGCAAAACAACTGAAACACAGCTAACAATCATGAAAAATATTCTAAAAAACAAGAGAGCCCATTTCTTAGCAAGGACTGTTGCAATGCAAGAGGACAGAGTTGTAGTTATAAATTTGTAAGGATATTGGTTTGTAACTTGAGGGCATACTTCGCAAAATATCTATATTTTCTCAAAAGATAATTCATATTAATAGCTAATGAATAATTAATATTACAATTAATAGTAATGTATGTGCCTTGACAGCAGGGTTTTCTTCACAGACATGAGTATGGGGGAAAAAAAACGTAATTAAATTTAGTTTGTTGAGTAGAAATCTTTAAATACTATTTTTTAATTTAAGGTTTTTATTGATGCTTCTGGAAAATTATTTTGTGCAAGTGGCCGACCATAATCCCTGACACTGGGGCTAATTTGAAATACACTGCTTGCAGTGAAAGATCACACTGGAGGTTAGTTCTTGTTTTCTGATCTGCAGCTTAGTGACCATTGTTGAAAAGACGGTGATGAGTTTATTTAACTATGCTTGAGTGCTGATACCTTCAGTGCAGAGCGGACGACATGTGATGTTTGTTTTAGTGTGTTGTGAAGCAGTTCCAGAAGAGCTTTTAACACAAGATGGCCGATCCTCCTTGTGGCATGCCAGTCTTCGTCCAGGTACACCACTGCAGCCTCCGAGAAGGTACTCACGACCAACTCTATCAGGCCTGTGAGGCAGAGAAGATGTCATCATGAGAAGGATATGGCTAACCTGCTGGACTTTGGTTCAGCCCAGTGAAATGAAAGATATCATCGTCTACACCCTGAGGACAATCTACACCACTGACAAGGACATATAACAGACCAGCCACATGTCAGTTTGCTACAAGAAAAATCTGAGCCTGTATGAATGTTTGTGACTGCAGGCTCAGGTTCGACTCCTCAGTAGATCCAGATAAGATGAGAGACACTCTCCCCCATCAGCCCATTAGCATTTCATTGCATCTAACTGGCCAAGCAGAAAGAAAATAGCTATTTTATAGATTAACAATTTAAACAGAACTTGTACTGTACAGGGATCGAATCATATCAATGCATGCAATGGTAACACAGGCGACAACATCGGAGCACAACTCAGTTTAGATGCTCAACTAAAAATAAATTCTCTTCTGTTCTTTTTATCTCTTTCACCTTCCTCCATTTCTCCCTAGAAAACCACCCAATGTAGAACAGGTTTTAAAGCTGCTTACCCTTGCTAAGCCATAAATAAATACCACTCACTAAAGTGAAAACCCTCGTTCCTTTGCTCATTAATTTTAACGTGGAACAGAAGATACTGTGTATTTTGCAGGTCTAACTGCGTAGGTAGCTGCAGTGGGTATTTGTCCCTGAGGTGTTCTCACCACATGTCTCTGGAAGTGGAGACAGGATGGATTCTGCTCTTACTGGGTTGACATGACACATGCATTTGAGAGAAAAAAAAAGCACACTGTGCCTAAGTCTAAAGTCAGTTCCATTTCTGTTAAAAATGAGAGTTAAATAACAAATGAACCGATTCACTGTCTTCACTGGGGAAAGTACAGCCAGGTTATTTTCTATTCCAACAGATCTTTATTTAGAATGTAGATGTTGGGTGTGTTTATTTTTGTGAGTGTAAGTGCAACACTGCAGACACTAGAAAGCTATTGGGCTAGATTTCTGTCAGTGAGATGTACTGTTACTTTGTCAGGCGACCTCATAAATTAAATAAACAGGCTGCTCTACTTTGGACTGTTCAGTCAAACAAAGACCTTCTTCTGTTAATGTGATCTGACAATGCAGTCCTGTTTGGAAGTAAAGCTCCAGATACACTTTTTCTCATGTATAATGTATGTTAATAACATCATTCTGTTAATGTCTGTTGAGTAGAGCTGTCAAACGTATTAAACTTATTCATCGGCAACATATCGTGAATAAAAGACAAATAACTGTATATGTTATCAAATCGACTCCATATATGAGCCATCTATTGACACATGATTATAGCCATTTAAACAATATAGCTGTATGATCAAAACTATTTACAAAATGATTTCACAGTGAATAGTCAAACTGCTGTTCTAACCTGCTACAGTTTGATGTAATTAAACCAGCACTACAGAGGCCAAGATAAAGTTTTTATGCTTCCACACTAAATACATTTTCACATGTGCTAGTTGACATGATGCATGTATATAAGTAAAGTTAAAGCACAGTGGAATCATTCATACTATTCCCAATTAATCCACTAAGGTCAGAGTAGTCATTGATTTGAAATCTGGTGCAATGAGAAAGGTTTGGTGGCGAGGGTGACAAAAAGAATGGAGCAGGAATTGGTCTAAGCAACTTAATTCCACTCACATCTTGTGTTCAACCTTAAGTCACCATGGGCAACACCCTGAAGCTCATAAAACTACCTGTTGTTTTGATTTTCTCCAGGCATCAATGTAATTAATTATATGGCTGTTAAACTGTTAAGAAACAAAACAATCCTGTTTCCATGTACTTTGTATGGAATTAAATTGCACGTTTAGAAACCTGGTGTTGCTCACTGATTAGACAACCAAAGACCATGTCTGTTCTTAACACAATAACAATAACACTCATTTGACAGAAATTCACCAGCAGCCTCTGAAA